TTATTTGAGAGAGAGAGAGAATGAGAGAGAAAGCACATGAGAGGGGGGAGGGTCAGAGGGAGAAGCAGACTCCCCGCTGAGCAGGGAGCCTGATGCGGGACTCCATCCAGGGACTCCAGGATCATGACCTGAGCCGAAGGCAGTCGCTTAACCAACTGAGCCACCCAGGCGCCCAATATTGTGAAATTTTAACAGGATAAATGCTTTTACTTTCAAATTTCATCAGAGATTATATTATTTGCTATTTCATTTATTTATTTATTTTTAAGTAATCTCTATACCCAGGTGGGTCTCAAACTCACAACCCCAAGATCCAGAATTGCATGTTCTACCAACTGAGCCAGTCAGGCACCCTTGTTTTGTTTTGTTTTGTTTTAAGATTTTATTTTATTTGAGAGAGTGAGAGTGCTGGAGGAGCAGAGGAGGAAAGAGAGGGATAAGCAGACTCCCCGATATGCACAGAGCCCAACGTGGGGGTTTGATCCCAAGACCCTGAGATTATTACCTGAGTTGAAAGCAGACGCTTAACCAACTGAGCTATCCAGGTGCCCCAGGCACCCTTGATTTACTACTTTATTTAAATTATGTATTTTTTCCTATTTGAATAGGAACTATTTAAAAAATACAAATGAATACACAATGAAAAGCAAATCTCCATCCTAATCTTCCACAAATGAGAGATGATTACATTTTAAAGCAGACTTAATTTCCTAAGAAAGACATATATTCTAAAGTTAATTTTACCTTAATTAGTATTTTTGTATAGAGAATCTCAAGCAGACTCCCCGCTGAGCGTGGAGCTGGATCTCATGCCCTGAGATCATGACCTGAGTCGAATTCAAGAGTCAGACACTTAACTGACTGACACCCAGGCGCCCCCTTTAGTATTTTGATCAAGAAAACCACAAAAAGGGAACACATAATTATCACCAAGCAGTCAAAGAGTGTCACTATGAAAAAAATTATGTCTCTTTTCTTCAGCAGTTTGTAAAGTGGCCAGTAACTGAGCATTTGCTAACAGAAATCTAGCTGAAGATGACAAATGCATTATCTTATATATATATACTTGTATGCACATCAGATTGGCAATTTTGTCTAAAATTTGAAGAATTCAAGACTCTATTTTTCTCCTAGAGATAGTAGAATGACTAGAAGACCTCTGGCTATATTTGGGCTGCAAAAAAGACAAATTAAATTATATAGGTGTGTGTGAAAAACCTATGCTGCAAATTAAAGAAAATGTTTTTATCTTCTGGTGAGCATACTGGTCTTACTGGTAAGTAAAATGCTTTTATTTTTATTTTTATTTTTTATACAGATTTTTATTTATTTGACAGAGAGAGACACAGCGAGAGAGGGAACACAAGCAGGGGGAGTGGGAGAGGGAGAAGCAGGCTTCTCAGTGAGCAGGGAGCCCCATGCGGGGCTCGATCCCAGGATCCTGGGATCATGACCCGAGCCGCTTAACGACTGAGCCACCCAGGCGCCCCAGTAAAATGCTTTTAAACACACATACAGTTCATTGCATATAATTGGAATGTGTCCATCTACATAAAAATCCAGGTTAAGATATTTTATTCTAGGAGGCTTTGAAAAAAAAGGAAGTAAATAAAAGAAAACAGTTAAATCAGTTATGAAAAATGCTCAATTTTAGCTTAATTTTTTTTTGTTTTAAAGGTTTATTTAAATGACACCCACTTTTACATTTATAGTATATCCAGCTAAAAAAAAGTATATTAGGTAATAGGAAGAAAAACTTAGGAAAAATCTCATTAGCTTTTAGGAGATAGCCTATAACATTGATTCCCTTCCTAGATAAAACCACACTCTAACTGCTTCATAGATCTGAGCCTGGTAAGACATCCCTAAAAGAGACATAACTGCTCCTACTTCAACTTCTCATGATAGCTTTTTTACTTTATAGAGAAACTTTTAGATCTACAAATTGTATATTTTTCCCATGAACATAAAGAATTGGGTAGATCATAAGAAGCAGGTTATGCTTAAAAGAAACTCACCAGATGGGAGGTTGACTCACTGGATTTGCAAAGTGGAAATAAGGCCCCAGATGAATCACTGAAAAGTATGTCTTGTTCTGAACTCAATTGCTCATTGCACTTTAGAAAATTAAACTCTGTCTTTCCAGTATGGGCAACGCACAAATTGTAGGAATAAGGCAAAGTCCCTTCACTGTAGTTGGG